AGTGGTTCTGGAAAGACAACATGTGCAATTCTAATCTTCAAAAATATAAACATGGTTGTTTTCACCCATACAAATGTACTAGCTAAAGATTTTCAAAATGACCGTAAAGTAAAAGCCCAAACTTGGCATAGCTTCTTTAGATGGAATAGCATGGGAGAATGGACACCTAAACATATGGGAGAAAAGAAATTTCCACGAGTTGTTATCTAGGACGAGGTATGCACAGTGTCTAGGTATATTCTCAAAATGTTGACTACTTACTAGAGCAAAAATGTTAGGTAATCTGTTGCAGAGATGATGCTTAGCCTCTACCATTCTTTGGAGAAATACCTCATGACTGGTTAAAAGAGCAAGCTGATTACTATGAGGAAGTCTTAACTGTCTATTGGGCCAAATGTTCTAGATTACAAGAGCTTAAGAAAAAAATATGACGCCAAAATAACAGAGTGCAGTCAGACTTATTCCGTGAAGCACTTTCAAATACAAAAAAAATGGAAATATTTTGAAGCTGAATAGAAGCCATCAGATCGTATCTTATCAGCACATATACTTTTCCAGAGAATTGCTTCCCAAAAATGCTTAAAAATTCATCAAGTAAAATATCCCGAAATTCCAATCCCATTAATTTATAGGCCAAAGAATGGATACAAACAGAATTGCCTTGTTCAAATTCCCAGCTCATTTGAAAAGAAGGAGTTAGTAAAAAATGATATAGTATATTTGCCCTTAAATACACTTCTTGACAAGTTCTTAAAAGATATATTAGTAGATAAAAAAGTCATAGATTGGAAACTCGGATACACAATGACCATTCATACTAGTTAAGGAATGACTCTTAAGTCACCACAATGTGTTTGGGTTATTGATGAAAACCTAGCCTGGGATAATCTAATATATTTGGCAGTTGGTCGTGTAGAATATTTAAGCCAACTCATTCGGGTTGAAGCACCTCCATTATCTCCTGAAATTGCCCAAGAGATTGAGAAGGCAAAAAAGAAAAAATAGCTAGAACACGAATTGAGGCCATCTATTCAGAAAAAACTTATCGGATATATGGGCCAGGATAAAGAAAAAGGCTATGAATTTGATCTAACAGTCGACTATATCCTTACATTAAAACATATTCAAGAAGACAAATGCGCATTATGTCTTATTGAAATGAAATTCGAATAGGATTGGCTAGGAGAGATATCCTAGTGAATAGTAAATCGAATCCACAATAGTTTAGGGTATATTAAAGGAAACGTATGCCTCACTTGTCTTTTTTGCAACCGAAATCATAGAGTCTAGATCATGGCAATGATCCAGATGCTTACATAGCTATTATATATTATTTTTTTCTTTAAAATAAAAAATATTTGCAAAATACTTTTCAAA